ACAACAATTTATTTATTTCCTATAGCTTATGCCGTTGTTGGTGGGAAACTTTTAATGATTGGGTATGATTCTTGTCTAAGATGAAGGAGATTATAAAAGATCTTGATTTAATGATTGTGTCTGATAGACATAATGCAACTATAGCTAATGTCCAAGCTATTTTTAAGGATGAAAGATATGATTTTTGTTACAGCATGTAAAGGAGAACTATTTTTGAGTTCTTGAAAATCACTTGGGGAAAGAGAAGGAACAGTAGTGAAACTAAGGAAATTGCACTAAAATTACTAGATGCAATAGCCTATGCAAGATTGGATGTATATTTCAATGAGGCTATAGGAAATCTAATGCCATTTTGTTCACAGTTAGGACAATGGTTGGAAAGCCATGGGAATATTGATCGCTGCGCACTTAGTAGGTTTCCTCATAGGAGATGGAATAACATTACCACCAATCTTACAAAATCATTTAATGTACAATTGGTGAGTGAAAGAAACATAACATTCCTATCCTGATTCATGATCATAGGGAGAAGTTAGCTCTAAAGTTATATAAAAGTAAGCTGAGCATGGCAAACTGGAGACATTGTGTAGGTCCTAATGTATAGTCTAAACTATTTGCAAATATCGCAAGAGCTGAAAGAATGCCTGCACAACATTATAGCTTGAACACTTTCAGATTTTTAACTCCAGGATGAGATGTCCATGTGAATCTTACCCTATGTGAATGCATATGCTGTAATTAAGCATATACAGGGGAATGTGTATTCTTATGTTGAGGAATGCTATCTACTTAGTTGTCAACAAAAAAAATATACTATCACAATATGATTCCAGTTGAAACTCATGACATTCCTAGGCTAGACAGTCTAAGATTTCAAGATTATGCATCTACTATATTGCTACAACCACTTAAGACACAGGCCTCCAGGAAGGCCAAGAAGCAAAAGGATAAAGTTACAATTCCAAGACAAGAAGGTATATTATTACTCTAAGTGTGGTGAAATTGGTCATACAAGGAAGACTTGCAAGAATCTCAATCCTAGCTGATCTGTTGGTTATAATTAATTTTTTGGTTGTATATATAGCTACTGTTATTTTGTATATGAACTAAAGTTATATGTTTTGTTCTTTCCAGTGAAATCAACTGTTGTGTATATTTGCACAACCCATATAATTTTTTGCTGTAATGGGTTGGTATCCTATAAATATTTCTTCTATATGTAATTTCATGAAGGTACTTTATGGCATATTGTCACAAGTACCAGCCTGAAATTTTTTTCTAATCTCTATATATGGTATATGTTAATAAAGTGACACTAGTTATGATTCTCTTAATTTAGTTGTAAAAGCTTACTCTAATTTCTCCAATACCCCTTACAAACCTCATCTAAAATGTACCCATGTTTACATGTTATCACTAACTGTTAATTGTGTGAGTCCAATTGTAAATGTATTAATGACAGTTGTCACTTTGAGGACAATCATCAAGTATGTTTACAACTTGGCCTAATCTTTCATAGCTCATTCATGGGAGACGTTGGAACACTACTGGTTAGTTGCCCAGTGCTACTCGTTAATTCTCTAATAGCCCTTTGCAAATCTCATCTGAATTATACTCGTGTTTCCATGTTATCACCAATTATTAATTGCGCGAGTCCAATGTAAATGTATTAATGATAGTTGTCACTTTAAGACAATGACCAAGCATGTTCACAGCTTACCCTAATCTTTTAGATCATGTTCGTGGGAGATGGAGAAACACTACTTGTTAGTTAGCCAGTCTCACTCGTTAATTTCCAAAACCCCTTGCAAACCGTTAGTTAATACATGAATAGTAATCACTCATAAATGTCATGTTAATTTCATAATACCAGTTGCAAATTTTAGTACTCCACCTAAAATACATTTCATAATGTGTATATATGTATTGAAACTAAACTTGATTGCAAAAGAGCAATTACAATTGTCAAAAGATTACAAGTCACAATGATATGAAAGATCTTGAATAAGATCATCACCTTTTCTTTTGGGTGGCTCAAAACTTGAATGAGTGAATGAGCTTCTACTAATTTTACATTACATGGATGGTCCACAGGCCACCAAAATAAGTCAACTTTTAAGGAAGCTAACTCATCCTACAAAACATTTATGAATAAGGTTAATAAATTTCAACTTCACTTGCAATAACTTTAATAATATAATATTCACATACATCCTTAAAGCTGTACTTGTGTATATTTGGCATTGTGTATGTTAGCTAGTCCTTATGCTCTTTGTTAGACTAATATTTTGACCATGTTATGAATGTGAAGGCCGCATTCCATGTCTGTATTATGTAATTTGAAAACAATGTGAGGTTAAGATGGTAGACCAATTAATAACAATTTAACATTTAAACTATAAACTTATACAGTTTCTTATTAAGAACTGCCCCAATTAAACCTCACAGTTAAGGTTATTTTCAAATAGCTCCAGCTTAACTATTGTCAATATTTGAAATAATTGTCTTTCTGCAGATAAAATTTATCAGCATGAGTTCAATAAAATTTCATGTCATGAATATATTAACACGTTTGATATTACACAACCTTCAGCCATCATTCTTTTTCCATAAGTTACCGAATCTTTAGTTGTCTTCTTCACTTTCTTTCCTTTCTTGTCTATCTTGCCTTCCTCATTGCCTATCATTGAGTCTAGCATATAAAATTTAGAGTGCTTGGTTCCATCACAAAGCAGAACTAGTAGTTAGCAAAAAGCATTAGTGCAAATATGTACTCGCACTTTCCTATATTGTACTCAACATCTTGAATTGCAAACCATTGGGTCCTATAACATGCATAATGTCAAAAAATACTTTTATCAAACAAAATCCATTCTAATAAAGTAAAAGCACTATATTTCACCATGAATTCAGTATCAAA